GGGATAATCCAAATCGAAGTCCGCCAATTCGAATCGAGGCATGCACACATAACTTCAAGCAGGAGTCAGACCCCGGAGCCGGACCGAATCAATATCGAAACCATCGACATCGACTCGATTAGAATCGATCAAGACGTGTTGGTGGACTCACGCATGAGATCAGATCACATGGGGTCGGAAAATCGCGCCGCTTCTGTCATGCATCGGCGATGCACTGGCGAGGCGGGATGGAGGAACCTGGGCTCCTGACTGCGCTGCGTCGCTGATGCGTCGGCGATGCGGCGCGATCCTCCGACCCCGCCTGAGCTGGCTCAATTTGGAAGTTTGGAGGCCTCGTCGGGCAGCATCATTGAGAGAAGGGGGAGAAGGAGGAAGAGGAGGAGGAGAAGGAGGAGGAGGACGGAGAGGGCCGGTGCAAACCCACGAGTCACCAACGATGTTGGAATACCCCCCCCGCTACCCCGTTGGAAGAGAACGGTTTGAAGACCCTGAGAGCCTCGTGGGCAGTCGCGAAGCCAATGACTGCCGTTTTGAAGCCATCCTGGACCGCGCCAGGGGCGCCCTGGGCCATCCTGGGCCGCTCATGGTGGACTGCGCGAGCCGTCGCGGAAGCCTCGGCAAGCCCCGCGAGGAAAGCTTCGGGCTGCCGTTCGTTACTCCCCAGCCGCAGCGGCTGTCGGCAGGGGCGATCCGCGGCCCCGCGGCCGCCCCCGCCGCCCCGAGGGCAGCGCCCCTGAGGGCCGCCCTCTCTCCCCGCGCGTCTTGCGGAGGCCCAGGGGGCTGTGGCGGCGCCGCCGCGGGCCGCCGCCGCTCAGAAGGCCGCGTCCCTGGGGGTCGCCCTCTCTCCCCGCGCGTCTGGCTGAGGCGCGGGGAGCTTTGCTGGGTCCTCGTAAGTGAACGCGCTCCACCTCCGAGATCCTCAGCACCCCGCGATGGACCCCCACGGCGCAAGCCATGGGCACTCGTCGCGGCATGCCATCCAAGGATGGTGGCAACGCTCGACTGCTGCGGCTTCTGCTTCGTCGTCAGCCTCCTTCTCGCAGCAGCTGGGGCCGCGCCCCTGGGGGCCGCCCCTTCTCCCCGCGCGCCTGGTGGAGGTGCGGGGGGCAGCGGGATCGGGCTCGCGTCTGGCTCGGCTCGATCCGCCTCCGAGATCCTCAGCACCTCGCGATGGGCCCCCACGGTGGCCACCACGAGCTCCCGACGCGGCATGCCTTCCAAGGAGGGCGGCAGTGCCAGACGTGTTGTTGCCGTAGCCCTGCTCGTTGCGGTAGCCCTGCGTGATGTTCGCGATGGGGAAGGTCAGCGTCGGCGGGCGCGGTTCTGCACGCTGGCCTCCGCCAGCCGCCCCCCCCCCCCCCCTGGCCGACGCAGGGAGTGGCCGCCCCCCCCCGTCGGCCCCGTTGCACGACGGTTTGACTCCTGGAGTGGATATTGCGATCTCTGTCACGCCCACAAAACTGCGGCGACGTTGCGCCTCGCGTTGCCAAGTCTTTGAAAGAGCCATCCTGGCAACGCAATGGCGACGCGCCAAACAGGTCGGCACTCACATCCTGCCCCTGGCGGGGCGGTGCGGTGCGTGCCTGTTCGCTGTCTTCCAAGCCGCTGATGCCGTCGTCGCGCAAGCTGCGGTTGGGCGACTGGCGTCGGCAAAACGTGGGCGACTGATCGCCAAGAATGTCGGTGCTCACAACTGCCCCTGCAGGGCGGTGCGTGCCTGCTGGCTGTTGTCCGGGCCGCCGTTGAATCCCTGTTCTCCCTCTTCCTTCTCCGCCTCGTTGAGCCAGTGTCGTAGTTTGTACTTGACGCTGGTGTAGTTATCTTCATGTTGCCCGAGATGTACTCCGTTGTCGTAGCTCCACATAGCCTGCAAGACCATCTGGCTTCAGCTCGGAATAGCGCAAGGGGGTGGCTTGGGTGCGCTGCTACAGCATGATGCACGGCTTCTGCGCCGTGCCTTGGAGGCCGCCCCTGGCGCCCCTCATGGAACCATTCCTTCGCTGCTTCGTAACGCCCCCCCCTCCCCCCCCCGCGCCTTGTTCGCCACCCCTTGCCGCGCCCTGTTCTCGTCAAGTTGCGCGCGGCTGGCGGGCGTCACCCTTCTTCCGGTTGGTCGGGCCCTGCTGCGAAATAGTTTCTTTTCCGTCGGTGCTGCGCCTTTCTTTGTCTTTTCACGTCGAATCTGGCTTCGCGCGCTTCTCTCTCTTCGGGTGGGCGCCCGCCGATGGCGCAGACTGTTGCAGCTGCTATTCTGCGTCGGGCGAGTGCAGCGGCAGCGTTGACCCAGTCGCAGCATGCCGTCTGTGCGTCGTCGCTGTCGTGCTCTCTTGCTGCTGTCTCCGCCAGCTTATCAACTTGCCCGTTGTCGCACCATGCGCGCAGTTGAAATCCTCGCGCTTGCGCCTCCTCCCACGTGGGGTGGTTGTTGATGTGGTGGGCTGATACTACTTCGTCGCATCTGGTGATACGTGTGCTGAGCTCCCTGCCGAGAAGTGCCCAG